GAAATACTCAAAATTTAAAGATGTGCTTTTAAGCTATAATGATAGATTTCGTCCTTTTTGTCTGGATCAAAATATAATCTATAAGAATCATCCATTTAGTAATCAATTTATTTCGGAAAAATATGCTGGTAAATGACTAACAGCACACGTAAGTAAACCTAGCAAGTTCCTTTGTGAAAAGGAGACAATCTGTCTGACAAATCCACATAGTTTTTTCTTGACAACGGACAGGAAATATCGCAAATAAGAGTCAGGGGCCGGTTGTATAAAACTGTAGTTAGTTAACTATAAGTAACTTGGAGTAACAGTTGACCAGCATTTATCTTGAAAAAGTAATACAGAAAATATTTGCAAAAAAATAACAGCAGGAATCTCTGCTATTCGTCGAGGCAAACCTTTTGTTGACAAAGAAACACTTATTTCCATATATAACGCTATTGTTCGCCCATACTTCGATTACTGCTGTGAAGTATGGGATGTGTTTGGCGAAACACAATCAAAACGACTTCAAAAACTTCAAAATAGAGCTGCAAGAATTATCTTGGATATGAGTAATGACATAAATCATTCTATTGCTTTTGTCCCAAATCACTCACAAATCTATTTTCTTATAAATGTGAGAAAACAAACTATCACCTTTGGGACATTTCAACTGGTCTTTGTTTACCAAAACCTCGTTCTAATAACATGAAAAATAGTTTCATGTACAACGGAGCTAAACTTTGGAATTCTATTCCAAAAGAAATTTGGAAAAAGCAAATCACTTTCTTCCTTTCGAAATAAAATCGCTGCTCACATTTATGAATAATAAGTATTGTAAATAATGTGCCTGTAAATAGTCTGCCAACTTTCTCATTAAACATTAATATGTTACTATTTTAATACTCATTAATATGTTACTATTTTAATACTCTATATCTCTTAAAAGCTTTGTAAATAGCTCTAACTATCACTTTCCTGTACTTGTAAAAATCTTATTCAATTTTTTGGCACACGCCCCTCGTGGAAATCAGCTTCGGTTGACGGGATTAAACCCACAACCTTGCTTTGGAATACTAGCCCAATGCTCTGCCAACTGAGCTACGCGGTCAGGTCGGTTCGAGTATGTGATATTTCGGAACTGAGTCTAGTTCCTTCGATATCAGTGTAATCTAATAATCAGGGACGCCGGAACTGGGGGGGCAGGGGGGGCGGCTGCCCCCCTTGCCTTTTGCTAGGGGGGGCAGGGGGGGCAGAAGTGCCCTTTTAGTTGTAAAATAATACGTGATAAATCACATTTCCAACGATGCTTTTTGTAGGAAAATCACGAGATTCAGGTAATTTATAGTTTATATTTATAAAAATTTTGGGAAATTTTTGGAATTTAGAAAAATATTTTGAAGAAATGGCGAAAATTTAAGATATCCGGAAAAATTTTTGGCTTCACGGAAAATTTTTGTATGTCGGGAAAAAATTTTTGACCCCTAAAATGGTACACTGACCGAAATTTTTTTGGCGACGGGGGGGGGGATGTCGCCAAAAAAATTTTCAGTAAAGGTGCCCTTGGTGTGCGTCCGCCCCCCTTTGCCCTATTATCGTTCCGGCGTCCCTGCTAATAATCATGATATTTGCTGTGTTGGTGTAGTGTACTCAGGTGAATAAGATGCGTTGCACAAAACGTAGTTAGTTGGATAGCTAACTAAATTACTAATCACGTAGTTAACTGTGCGTGGGGCTTGCGTGTGGAAAATTGAAATTTGAGGCAATATTAGGGAAATTTATCTTTGAATGTGGAAGCACTGACCAAACAAAATGGCGTCCGCTTGTTCGGAAAATTAAAAAAAAATGTCTAAAAAAAAAGTTAAAACCGACCTACCCTACCTAAGTTTTTATAAGAAGAAACCGGAAACCCACATATTTTTGTTTTGGCCTAAAAGAAGGCAGTTTTTTCGTGAAATGTCTACGTTAAACCAAAGCCTGTAGTTGTTTGGCAATTATCTATCAGTGTTTCTTGGTGTAATGGACGCTACTTCGTCTTTGAGAAATCGTCCTGTGCAAAAATATATTCTGTTTTCGTAAAAAAACACCAAAGCGATAGCGTTTGAAGAGTTTACATTGTCAGGAAACATTCACAGGGAAGATGTCGAAGACAGGGATGGATCCAGCATGGTCTGGTAGGGGGGTGCTCCGCCAAAAAAATTTTTCGGAAAGCAACAACCTCCCTCCCCCCATCGACAACTTTTTAGGGAAAATTTTTTTCCGGACGAGTACGTTGCAATTGCTTTCCAGTGACTTTACACATCCATCAACTTGCTTAACCACTGCAAAGTCTAGCTACAGTATTTGAATTGTAATTGTTGTTCACAGTTCGCTTATCATCATGTTATTACTCAAATTACTGAATCTCATTTTGTCTCTGATAATTTTTTGCTTTATCATGAAAAATAGCACCCCCCCCTGCACCCCTCCTGGCCAGGGCTAGGGGGGTGTGCACCCCCCTGCACCCCCCCAGTAAATCCATCCCTGGTCGAAGATAGCAATTGAAAAGACTAAACTAAGTGTTGCTTTTCATTATTGTTTTACAGCCCTCAAAAACGAGGTGGGCATTCAGCAATGCCGACCTATCAACCTCCCAGGTCGGCAAATTTTTGCCGACTTTAATTTAGCCAAAGTAAGAAATTGTTGGTGCTGATTGCTGTTAAAAAGTCAGCGACTATAGAACTTGATTCGTACTTCGATTAACTAAACACACTTTGGTGTAAGGTTTAAAAATTGACGGGTATTCTATATATAATTTAGGTAAGACTCCAAAAGAAAAGCCGTCATGTTACTGTAGTTCGCATTTCCGCGGAAAAAGGCATGCTTTATATTCCGATTTTAATGATTCGCAAATACGTGATTGCTAGTGCTCCAAGACATGGAAACAGATTTTAAAAAATGCCGAGACATGCCGACCTAGGTCAGATTTAGATCCGCATTTTTTTGCCGAACTCAATTTTGACGGTTTTCGAGGGCTGGTTTTACTGAAAAAATGTTGTTCACTCCTATACAAGCGCCATTTTTAACTACGTTTTGAGAAGTTAACTATACCCTTGGACATATAATACTTTTTTACGGAAACACCACATATATTTATTACTGCAATTACTATTTACTATTATTTATTTTTTATTATTTATTACTTTATTATTTGCAGTAATAAATAATTTACGTGGTGTTTCCACAAACAAAAAGTATTATATGTTTTATCGCCATACAAACCTACAAAGAACTTACCCTTTGGCATAGTTAAAGGGTATGGGCAATGAAAATTGCTTCATCTATCTTATTGCTTCGTCTGAAAGAGCATGAAAAAATAAGCCGATTGGCCGTTTAATGCTCTATTCTATCTCATCTAGTTCCGAAGTTATACGCAAAAATGTGCAAAATATAAATTGCTGATTCAGCACAAAGTGTGACGTCATTAGCTGGGTAAGTATGTTTATTGAATACTACACTGAAGCATAGTGTAGTATTCTAATTTTGTTGCGAAGGTAACAATGTCGTTCCCAGGCCCCTTGCGCCAATTTTATAAACAGCTTTATTCAAGGTACTGATAAAAATAAAATAATATCAGAAGTATGTGTACGATACCTATGCATGCCGAAAGTTTACTTGCATGATAATAATTCGAAAATGACATACACATAGAGAAATGCAACTAGTTATTCAAAATCAGTGTAAGGGGCCTGGGAACGACTGTGTTGCCTTGACAACAAAATTAGAAGTATTTTCCCATGCGTCTCATCATGTACTATCTGTATGCAAAATTTTATTTTATTTGAGCCAATAATAACTCAGCTATGCTTTAGTTTACTCGTCAATAAACATACTACCCAGCTTATGACGTCACACATTGTGCTGAATCAGCAATTTATATTTTGCACATTTTTGCGTATAACTTCGGAACCAGATGAGATAGAATAGGGCAGTAAACGGCCAATCGGCTTATTTTTTCATGCTCTTTCAGATGAAGCAATAAGATAGATGAAGCAATTTTCATTGCCCATACCCTTTAACTACTTAACTTTAGCTACTTTTTAACTGCAGTTAACACTTTCTACATTCCTATACAACTGACTTAACTACATTGTCAAAGTTAACTACAAATTAACTACAAAATGGATAGTTAAAAGTAGGCAAAGGTTTTATACAACTGGCCCCAGAATTCTATTTATTGGACGGCCGATACATGCCAATATATGTCAATGTGATTGGTCGATAGTTAACCGATCTCCATGAAAGTTGCCGATTATCGGCTTCTACCAATTAATTTCCTAATAACTTTCTAAGGCAATACCTTGGGCTATTGTGGCTATTCCTTGTACTTTACTAAGTACTTCTCTTTGGCCATGCCTGTAAGAAAAACAACAAACCATTAACTAATGTTTACATTTTCCAATTCCTTGGCAATAGGCCTGGCCTATAGGCAAACCTATACTGTATACGAAACCTATAGGTTTTTATAGGCAATTGGAACATTTTCTATAGTTGACCTATAGGGATGTCAATAAGCAAGCCTATAGAGCTCTATTGATGCCTAAAGGCTTCCTATAACGGTTCCCTGGAACATTTCCTATAAGCACCTATAGGCCACTTATAAACTTTTTTCATAATGGCCTTGCAGCGAACCGTGGTAGTCACAAACTCACAATCACCCAACAAAATTAATCAAGAAAATCCAAAACGAATCAACTCAAAAAATCAACAGTGAAAGCAAAACAAAGTTCTCTTTGGCCCTTGGCCATGACGGCCAATCTTCAGAGCTTTTCGAAAGAATTTGCCTGTCTTTAAAATACTGCCTACAAAACGTGAACATGTATGATGTATTTGACAGCATTAATAGTTTACTAGTAATAGACTTGCATATATTCAGTAATTACTTGGGTGTGGCAAAATTTAAAATTCCCCTACATGGTTAATATATTAATTCAATAGACCTTACCGTTTATTCACTTTTCACCCAATGGCCTCATAACCCTCGTTTTCGTGTCAAATACTTACTCATGTTTTGTGCTTAGGGGGAGCATCCATACTCAACTTGCCACGAGAAACGTCAATTTGATGTTTCTTTTTCATACCCACCCACCCACCCACCCTAGAAACGTCAATCCATGGCAAGAAAAAAACAAGTGTGAATACTCGAAAATACTTGTATTAACTTCCATATCGTCCTATATATCTCATAAAGTACTTTTGAATAGAGACTATAGCGAACAATATACAAACATAACAAATAAATATAAAGCCTTGATTTACCGCTTGGCGAAGTAAGAAAGTTTGTTTTTTTCCATTGACAAGGGAAAATATTGCACAGGTTTGTGTTTTTAAAGTACATATTACAAATAGAATTTTATATTATACAAAAGAATTTTATATTGTACTTTTATAATATTCTAAAGTGTCAAACTGCCACAGGCAAAACGTCAAAGAAAATAACGCACACACCCACAAACGTCAAATTGACGTTTCTCGTGGCAAGTTGAGTACTTGAGTCAGGGTTGGATATAAGAACATTTTTTCAAAAATAAAATGTTCTTATTTCTTATATTAATATAAGAACATTTTTTGCAATATAAGAACATTTTCAAAAACTTTGATGACGTCATATTAACATGTCATCCAAAATCCTAAAATGACGATTCAACTTCAATTTTAGATGTTGCTGTAACGTCTTGGCTTTCAAAATTATAAAAATAGTTATCACTGCAGTATTTATACGACTACTGTATTATCTGTATATTTTATTTTCAGGATGAATGTCAATTAAATAGTTAAAATTTACATTTTACTACTTCGAAGTAGAATAATTAATGAGAATAATATAAGAAAATATAAGAACATTTTTGCCTCCCAAAAAATATTCTTATATAATATAAGAACATACAAGAACAACTAATATAAGAACATTTGCCAACCCTGACTTGAGTATGGATGCTCCCCCTTAGTAGGTTGAAAATTACTTTGTTATCGAGCCTAAACACAGCAAGAAACAACTTCGTCCAGGAAAACATGGGAATATAATGGAAACGAGCCATTGGGTAAAAGAGAATAATCGGTAAGGTCAATTATTCCAAATATTTTTCAATCACCTTACCTGCAAAACAGCCAAAGTTCTTGGCAGATTATTCTCTTTCAAGTATTATTCAATTAACCCAACGACACTAGAAAGATACAGCAAGACAATCGAGTAAGTTTTGTAAAAAAAACCTACACAGAAAGGAAAATAAATTACTTTATAATCTACAAAAACTTACTCCGCACTTTCAACTTCCAGCGCCATCTTGGAAATTTCGATTACTGAGACCGCGATTTCTGTTGTTTGTTTGCCATTACTTCATGTTAATTAGAAGTTTATTAGCCCTACCGTCAATTGCACATTAACTTTCTCTGAAATTTAACGAAAAGAATTGTGTCATATTTCCACCTCTTTCTAGAAGTCATTCTGCTCAATTGGTTTTGGCACATTTAATTTTGTCAAAATTTGAATTGCTAAAGGTTCTCAAATTTCAAGGCAAAAAGTTAGGTTCTCAAATTTCAAGAAATATACCACCTGCAGTTACTTGGCAGTTGCCTACTCACATATTAATTCTACATTGAACATAATCTTTAAACAAACTGATTGTTTGTCGCTATTATTACGAAAAATTATAACGTTTCCATTAAAAACTTATGTCAAGTAAAACGTCAGTTTGGGTGGGTGAGAATAGTTGATCATGCGTCTTTCAGCTGGTCGTTATATTGGACTACAATCAGTTTAAAATGTCTTGAGACAGATGTCACAAAAACCTTGAATTTCAAACGCGCCTTAAAAACCATCACTCAAAAAGCTGAACTGTGCCTTTAACGAGTTTTTTAAATTCATTTTAAAAACAATATTAAATCCACAATAAAAGAGTATAGAAGTTTATTGTTTAATATTTCATAAACGAAGATACATAAAACTTGACTTGACTAAAACGTTTACACTTAAGACAAACCATTTCTAAGTTTGACCATGTCATAGCTTGTTAATACTAATGAATAAAAGTACGGAAATGTTTCGTTCTCTGTAGAATTGAATCGACTACATCCACCTAAATTACCCCTAAAAGCAATAAAATGATATTAAGTATAAATAAGAAAAATCAGCAAGCCATGTTTTGGGGCTGGGTGTGTATGTGCAAGTTATGTGTCTTCCTTCAATTTCAGGTCCCCCAGGATTTGGTTTACCAGAATTGCAGTCTCCCCTTTTTTCATCTGGAAAAGTCTCAGGCCCCCCAGTTTCTCACCCATGCCCACCCCCCCTCCCATAAATAATGAACGGTTCCTAACTGTTAATCATAGCACAAAAGGCATATACTCACAACAGGAGCGCAGCAAGTACCCAGACAGCCAAAGATGGATGCAGTGAAGGAAGTCACAGTGAGGATAATATATGCAACCAGCGCCGCAATGAAGAGCGAATAAACTGCGTCAATATCACTGCATTTCATGTTCCCTAAAAGAAAATGTTGTGACACAAATTATGCAAAGAAACCTGCGCATAAGCAGAACAATCTTGACCGCCACTTTAATTTAAATCATAAACAAATCCGAATCTACAGCGAAATATGATATAACCCAGCTTAGCTCCGAAGTAAGGATGATTAGTATAGGTAATAGCATGGTTTCGAGTGCAATTTGGATATAACATGCACGAGTGAGTTTTTCAAAGACCTCAAAATAGCACGAGTCCGAAGGACGAGTGCTATTTGAGGTCTTTGAAAAACTCACGAGTGCATGTTTATCCAAATTTCACGAGAAACCATGCTATTACTTAGTAATAATTTACATAAAAATGTTCGAGACAATTGTAGTTTTAACTTACGCGTTTATAGCGAACATTCCACTGGCAAAGTTTTCCTGGCTTTGTTTTATCACATTATACAACGCTAACAGCTTGAAAATTCCACTCAACTGTGTATTTTTTGTTAGTCTTGTTTAAGGTAAATGCTTTTCCATTTAAAAATAAAGATAAAAGCCATATTTTCCACGCGAAGGCAACTTTTACTTTATGTAGCGCGGCGCCATGTTTGTTTTGTTTTGAAGCAATCTGTGACCGTTACTTCTTTAAACTAAATTGCTTTAAACTGATTGGTTGATTTAATCATCACAATGTTTTTTCACCAATCAGATCAGTTTGTTACAGATTTTTGCACTGTGATTACAGAAAATTGCACTGTGATTACAAAAAATTGCACTGTGATTACAGAAAATTGCACTGTGATTACAAAAAATTGCACTGTGATTACAGAAAATTGCACTGTGATTACAGAAAATTGCACTGTGATTACAGAAAATTGCACTGCTGTTTGGGATTAACTGCACTGAAATCAACCAATCACAGTCGAGTAATATCTTTATGTATATTATTAACACACTTATACACTTAAGTAAGCGGCTGTTCTCAATGCAGGAATATTTTTGCCTAAGGTCTATTTTTGCCTAATAAGTCTAAGGGAAAATTTATGACAGTGCACGTATTATAATTATTGTCATGGTGACCCTGGCGGTTTACGAATCGAAATGAAAAATTGCGTTAACGATTGTCGCCTACACAAGTAAAAACGCACAAGTTGTTACAGGTCTGCAAACAAGTTGTTACAAATCTGTTCACAAGCTGTCAACAAGTTGTGTTCGCACTGCTTGTTCCCAAGCACTGCTTGTTAACAAGTTTGAAACGAGCTGTTAACAACTTGCAACAAGCTTGATGGCATTATCAGACTTGTAGCAAAGTTGTTCTAACAAGTCTGATACAGTCATGATATAACAAGAATGTCACAAGGTTGATCACACAATGTTGTAACAATATTGTTATATCATGACTGTATCGGACTTGTTGGCACAACCTTGCTACAAGTCTGATAATATCAACAAGGTTGTTACAAGTTGTTAACAGCCTTTTCCAAAACTTGTTGACAACTTGGGACAAGCAGGGACGTCGCTATAGGGGGGGGGGGGGGGGGGGGGGGGGGGG